CCCTCTTGGTCCACCCTCCCGTTTCCCTCTCTCGCGCGCTGCCGCGTGTGTGGACGCTATATAGACGTCTCGAGAGCGACTCGTGGCGTCTCGACTTCCTTTTACTTCTTCTTTTCTTCCTCCTCCTCCTCTTCTTCTTCTTCTTCTTCGTCTTCTTCTTCGTCCTTTCGGTTTCTTTCTCGAAACGGTCGGTGAAAATACCGGTGTGTGCTCTCTGAGAGATGGTATACAGGGTGTCTCGTAACTCCCGATCGTAACTTTAATGGCAGATTCCCGAGTAAGTTCGGAGTCAACTTTGGGAGTGGTATCGTGTATATATATCTTTGTATCGTGTAAATTTGAAACTACATGGAAAGGACGATTTTGATGTACCTAAAAATTTAGTTATGTATAGATCTGAAAATAATTTTGGATCATCAAAATAATTATTAGTAGAACTGAAACGTTGATAATATTACAAGAAGTTCTATAAAGTTTCAGCAATTAGTTTAAGAGTTCAATATAATTATTTTGATAATCCAAACAAAATTATTTTTATGTCAACTAATTGTAAGTGCCAATTGCGGTTAAAGTTAAATGTTGGAATAATATATATCTTTATATGTATTTCAATAAATTTATATCTCACATATATGACTGTGCACTGATTACTTTCAGACTTGGAACACAATCAAACTAAAATAAACAGTAATAATAATCTTCCCAAATTAAATAACTCTCTAAATTCTTTGGAAAAGAAACTTCACTCCAGAAAAGTGAAACTTTTATTACTCTTGAAAAAAGTGGAAGAATTCAAAGAGATTTACTCCAAAAAATTTAGAGAGTAGATTATCGATTTTTGATGCTATTAGCATCTTAAAACCTATAAGAAACTTATTACAAACAACATTACCTTTAAAAACATTAGCCGGAATTTGTCCTATTTTAAGCAAAAATTTTTTAGGATTTCGCGAACAAATTTAATGTCGATATGACGGCTGTAAAATATAACGCGATATATCTACTGGTACTTAAGTACTGAGGTATCGCGACGCGCGCGATTTCGCTGGCTGTACATATTTCCGAGGAAAACGCGGGACCGAAAGTCACGCGGAAATGCGAAACTCGTATTGGGTGCGTAGCGCGGTGGAACCCCAGTGGAGCCACGCCATGTGGCGGACGCGGATTGTCCGCACGTCTGGAATTACCCGGGCCCCTCTCTCCCCC